ATTCCAAGTTACCATGACGTGTATAACTGGAGTCGGATCGAAGCTCACTTTAAATAGAATTTCGAATCTTGATATTTTCTGCTAATATATATGTATATATATATATATGTATATATATATGTATATATATATATATATATATATATATATATATATTATTCATCCCTTTGTCTCGAATAACAAATTAAACGCAAAGCAATGATTATATTTTCACTATCGTTTATTATTGTTGAATAATCATTTCTTACAGTGACTTAAACACTTACACGTAATTCATAGTATTCGAATTTACTTATTCACCACGTTGTCATATCACTTTAACAATTTACCTCGCTACCGTCTACACCACATGCCGGAGCAACTCCCCCGTAACGCCCGTGATTTTCCGCTCGGCCACAGGCGTTGCTATCATCTGTAACATAAAGAAATAATTAACATTTCTATATCATCTAACCTTGCATGCGAAACCGCACGTGCTACTAACCATGGCTATCTTTAAGGAAATACATGTTAAACTAGCTTATTCTTTTCTATCAACAGACATTCCAAATACCTTCCACTTACGCCATGTCAAATCAGTTGAGTAACCCTCTTGATCGCTGGCCTCAATGGCCTCTAATAATTAAGGGTGTCCTTGGGCTAGGTCGACCCTGGTCTCAGTCGGCTCGCTGCTGCCTCATTCTCTTCGCAAACCATAAGGAAACTGGCTCCTCTCTATGCTACGAGTGCGTCAAAACTCTTTCACCCCAGAAACGAGAGCTGTATTTTGAAGGTTTCCGCCACTACCTAGCTGTCGGCTTGAATCAGGAGTATGAATATTGTGAGAACTGCAACGTACTAATCCCAGAAATCCGCCCGGCTACTAGATGCGACCTCTGTCCGTGGATTTTCCGCGAGTACGTCACCTTCCAGTGCTCCCTTGGAATATGCGCCTACGAACGCTGTAAAAATGTCGAAATTTGTATCAAAGAAATACACTTCGAAGTAACAAATGGTCGTGTAACCAAAAGCACAATAATACACGAAACGCATTGACATATTGTTTCGAGATTATTTCTACCTGCAATCTTTCCCTACAAACAGGAGCATGTTCCATAAAGTAAACATTCGAGCTTCTCACCCCTTTCCTCAGCATGGATCCCCACGGCTTTCCCATTCCTGTTGAGCCTCCAGAAG